AMAWTTWTAAAAAAATATCAATATTAATATCAAATTAACTATTTAAAAGTTCTTGTTTGTTTATTTTTTTAATTAAGTTTAATTTAACGTAACGAAGTAACTTAATTTAGGTTTAATAATATATTTTTATAAAAATAATAATTAAGTATTCTGTTAAAACTCAATAATTATTCTAATTATATTTTAGATTTTTTATATTTAAAATGAGATGTTTATTCTCTATTTGATTATGTTTATCCGCAGTTAGTTACACGAATTCAAACATAAAGCTTTAATAAGTTGTATTTATGCACAATTTACTATATTTATGCATCAATAAACAGTACTTTATGCATAATTTTTTTACGAGTTTTATCAAATACTTTATAATATAATATAGATAAATATGTATTTAACTGGTTTTAAAAAATTTAAGGGTATTATTATTAAAAAAATTAATCTTTAGTTTGTTCATTTGTTGGGTTTTAAAAAAATTGGAATTGACGAGCACGCGCACAACACGTGCTGATGCCAATATAAAGATCATACGAGCACACGCACGACTCGCCGTCTACAAAACTCTACCTGTGCCTGTTGCCCTAATTCCTCTTGCAAAATTTTGAAGGTACTTCTTTCCACTCTTTTTGCAATTCAATTGATATCGATCACGATTCTTGATTGTTTGAAATCTGCTGTTAATGTTTTATCTGGATCTTGCATAAAGCATACTTGTAATTCGTTTTCTGTGTTCATGTACGTATGTTAGTTTTTTTGATGTTGTGTTCAACTTTGATTTGATTAACTTAGCCGGGATTTCGCCGGTGGTTGCGTTTGGAGGCATCTGTATGACTGTATTCGACTTTTGTTGTTTAAGCCACCACGTTTCTAGAACTAGGGTTTCAACCAAAACCTCGCTGTTAAATAGAAGTTACGCGACTTCAGTCGTTTTGCGTGTGGGTGAGATTGGGCTTATAGATGCCGGCATGCTGGATAACGAAGACAGAGTGGTGGAAATTGATCTGTGGTTGATAATTCTTATTCAGCTTGCTAGTTCCGAGTTATGCAGGACTTTGATTTGAAACTTTCTGTTATAGGTTACATTGGAAGATAGCCTTATGCTTGCATCTAGTTTTATATGTTTTTCCTAGAGATATTTCAAGTTTCAACTTTTTTAGGCGCTTAATTCCAAGATTAGGGATATTATACAGGAAGTGGGTGGTGAATTACATAAAATAGACAATTTTAAAGGTTGGGTTAAACGCATTCCTATACATTGCTAAATGCACCTTGTACAAATCAACCTTGGGACTTATTTTTTACAATACCAATAAGGGGTACATATAGCATTACCCCAATGTTGATGTGTGTGACAGGAAATTAGTAGGTACTAGGTAGCGATTCATTTAGCCCGCCCTTTTAATTGTTAATGAACTATTTTACTTTTGTGTGTCTGGAACACTAGGTCTAATGACTAGAATTGCAAATCCGCAAAGGTGAAATTGGATTTTTTGATTGATTCCTATGTGCTTTTAATTGGCTACTTGGGTTTGGATATTTTAGTTCACTGGTGGGTGTAGTTTGGTTGGCATACATATTCTATGTGGCACAATTGGACGAAAAATCCATGTCTCTACCGCAGAAAATTTCTAACCAGGGTTTTGGACTGGAACTCTGTTGCTAAGCTATTGAAAATAGAAAATAGACAACTTGTGAGGTATTTCTTCTGTTTGGTTGTCAGTCTAAATTGCGGAAATACGCCTCTTTGCAAAGTACAATGGAGGGTGTGTGCAAAGACTTCCCCTTTTGCAAGGTGCCTCTGTGGATTTGTTCATTACAGTGGCCCTGTTAAACAACTGCGATTGTTGCTGAATCATTTCACAATGCTTTTTAGCTTGTGCATATGCTCTTGAGAAGGAAGAAGAGCAGAAATTGAATTTTTTAAATAACTGATTCACCTCTATGCTGTGAAGTCCTTGACAGAGACTTCTTTATCTTCGAAGGTTTTTGTACTAAATGATCACTTGGTGCAACCTGCATTTATCGTACATATTTTGTTACTTATCTCTTTGTCCTGGTTTCTATTTTTGCTGGGGGCATGCTTCTCTTTCTTAAGTCTAATACATATTATTTTATTATTCCATGTTCACCTGACCAGAGCATTAAAATGGGTGGAAGGAGCTATTCACCCTCACCACCTAGGGGTGGTTATGGGAGAAGGGGAAGAAGTCCTAGTCCAAGGGGTCGCTATGGTGGTGGTCGTGCAAGAGATCTTCCAACGAGTCTTCTAGTTCGTAATCTTCGCCATGATTGCCGGTATGTTATTACTAATTACCCACCTAATTTTCAACTTTCTTAGTTGACTTTCTTTTCTGCAGCAATGAAGTATAGAATTTTTTTTTCTTAATATATTGCCTGAGGTCCCATCCTCTTTCCCAAGTATGGAGTGGCATTACTTATTTGCAATGAATGCAATCAATGTTGTCACAGGTACATGTACTTATGAACATCAGGGAGTTTGGCTGAATTTTAACGTGCAACATGTTTCTCAACATGGATGATATTAATTTGCTTGTCCCCTAGGTGACTTGTGTTGGAGGAATATTTTCCAGTCACCTTCTGGCAGTATCTTTACCTTACTTGAACTAGTCGAAAGGCTTTGTAAATGAATGGTGCAAGATCTACATCTTCCCATTTCTTTTTGGTCGATACCCTCTTATGCATTTAATTCATTGTGTTTGTTGTACTTATGCCAGTGATTGCTCATCCCCTTCATATTTTCATGGTTTCCTAGATGTAATGTTACTTAGTTAACCATGCACTATTTATGAAATAACTACTGCCGAGACCACTTTGGTGGGTATATGTATACACAGTACATTTTAAAATGAGTGCTAGATATGAACACAGCTTTCTTTGAAGTTCATGTTTATGGTAAATTATGGCTAGTGTGCTTGATGAGGTATGCTAGCATGAGTTATGCGATCCTTTAACTTTTCAATTGCAGGTTAGTACTCTCTTTGCATTTCTTCCAAGTTCTAATGATTTTTGAAGCACCAATCATAATTTCCAATTAAACAAAGTCTCTGTATTGATTGTGATTGTATGGGTTGATCGCCAGTGACAAAACTTTAGTTTCATAGTCTTGGGCTGTCTGAGCCTGAGTGTTTCATTTTGTTGATTTTGTCAACATGAAAGAGGATTGCTATTTTATCTTGGTTCAAAATTTTTAACTAATTACATATTAATGTGTGTTATAATGCAGGCCAGAAGACCTTCGGAGGCCATTTGGACAATTTGGTCCTCTAAAGGACATTTACTTGCCAAGGGATTATTATAGCGGGTGAGCTGGTGTTATGATATGAATTTTATTGCCAATTGGTTTGAGATTACAGAAGTACATTCTATATTTTTTGAAATGGGTCGTGCCATTCACCCCTTTACTTATTTTAATTTCAAAATTTTCTTTGTCGATGGTGTTTTTAGAATAAACTTGCTTGTTTAGCCAAGTTTTCTTTCTTTTAATCTGATGCTGTGCGACAGGCGGTTGTCTAAGTATTTTCTATGTTGATATCATATTCTTTTGTGATAAACTCGCCTTTTAGTCACTTGAACATTTATCTCTCTTTCCATCCGGTGATCCCGGGTAACTTTCATCTTTTTTTAATCATACTATCTTATGACTCGAATTGGGAATTTTCAATAAAAGTTTGAGATTTTAACAGTGAAGAAGTAAAAGTTTTGAAGACATGAACCAGGTATTAGAGGTTCTGTTGATATATTGAAGTAGTAAGAGTTCTGTTCAAGATGGTGTGTATGATAGTGAAGATGGGAAGGAAAATGAGTTTGATTACATTTGGAAGATTTCAAGATTTCAAGTCTTGAAGAATTTCAAGTCATATTTATACTACTGACAATTGCAAGGTCAGCAGCCATGTGCTTGCTTTATGCCTTTATCTGCTTATGGTGGTGGCATTCCATATTACTGGAAATTGATTGTCTGTAAGTTTATCTGATAAAGGGCAGTTTGGGAACTCATAACACACCAAACTTAATTCATCTTCAACTACATTGTTGGATCCAAAATTTTTAAAATGATTATTACAGCTTACTCAAAATATGTCATCATAAAAGCTATGCAGACATTGGTTTTGAGTTCTACAAACAGCCCTGGAAGGATGTTGGTGTGTACTTACTTTCTTTTTCTTCCAAAATTCCGAGGTTAATGCAACTAGTTTATGACCTTTTACGTTTCCTAACTTTTTCTTTGTTATTATGTGCAGGGAGCCACGTGGATTTGGTTTTGTTCAGTTTGTCGATCCTGCTGATGCTGCTGAAGCAAAATACCAGATGGATGGTCAGATTCTTCTTGGCCGACAACTAACGGTGGTTTTTGCTGAGGAGAATCGAAAGAAACCATCTGATATGAGAGTTCGAGAACGGAGGTAAATTTTTTTTTTTGTTTAAAGAACCATGTTGGGTTGTATGTTATGTGGAGAGCAGCATTTCTTGAAAGAAAGAAAATGGCGTTAGAAACTTAGATATCTCCAACACATTATCCAAAATTTCTTGAGAATGGAGAATCAAAATTCAAAATCTCCAATATTATTGCACTCAATTCCAACAACTTCTCCATTTTTGAGATTACTTAATTCATTATATTATTAAAATATTCCAATATTCCATACATTTAATAAAATATTATGTCTCTCACCTAAACGTTTAATTTCAAGATTTCTTATTGGTGGAATATAATAACAAATGTTTGTCTCTCATGATAATCATTTTTGGGTATTTCTCCAAATTTGAAGATTTTTGCACTCTCTCTCCTACTTTCTCGGTTGGAGCAATTTTTGTTTTACCAAAATCTGTATTTTCTCCATTTTGAAGGATCTCTTAGAATATCTCCTTATTTATATGGTATAATTTGTCTTATTGCAGGGGTGGCAGATTTAGTGACCGTAGGCGGTCACCTCCACCTCGTTATTCTCGCTCACCACGTTACACCCGGTCTCCACCTCCTCGCTATGCTAGATCACCATCTCACAGCCGTGAATACTCTCCACCACCTAAGAGAAGGCATTACTCGAGGTAAAGCTTCTGCAAATTATTTTACAAATTCCATATATTCCATATAAAATTTTCGTTATAATTGCATGTTGTCTGTACTATTGGCAGGTCGATTTCACCTCGAGACAGAAGATATAGTCGGGAAAGATCATACTCACGTTCACCGGTGAGAGAACGTTCTCCATCTTACAGGAGTCCCAGCCGCAGTCCCAAGTCTCCACCATATAAAGGCGGGTCAAGGAGTAGAAGCCGTAGTCCTGTTAGGGAGCGACTGCCGCCAAGGGGTGAAAGCAGGAGCCGTAGCCGAAGCCGAAGCGCGGATCCTGGTGATTACTACAGAGATTTGCCACCACGGAGGGATGGTTCTCCAACTCCCTGAAGAGACATTTTAACGTAGGTTGGATGTTTTCTAATATGATTTGTACCTGATTGGATGGTTGTGATGATGTTTCTTTAATCAGTGCTTTTTGTCTTCCAAAATTACCAACAAATATTCCTTTTACCAATATTTTGGCTTTTACTTTTTTGTTTACAGCGTCAAAAAAAAGGGCATTATTCCAGCTTTGTATTTTCAAAAATTCTTCTTTATTTTCTGGAGTTCAATTATGACCAGAAAAGACATTTTAACGTAGGTTGGATGTCTTTATATAAAACATGCGACAGCTTGCAAAACTATTTAATTATAAATGCAAAAATGGAATTAAATATGATATAAAATAATATGAAGAGTTTTGGATAGTAGAATGTAGCACGGTCGAAATACAGGTTCACGCTTGAAAGATTCTCAAGGTCCACCTTTTGTCAATACCCTTTTTTTCCCTTTCTCAATAGCTTTTTCCCATGTTACAAAAACCAAGTATAATATTAAAAAATGGGTGTTTAGATTGGACTAATCGCATAAAAGATATCCCATTTCAGCCTTTTTTATTATTATCTTGAAGAAGCAAAAACCCATGCAAGAAAATTCAAATTTTAAAATAAAGATTTTCTTTAAAAAGCAAATCTTTAAAACAAAGGTCAAAGCTTTTCATTTTACTCGTTAAGGGTTGTTGTGTTACGATTTATTGAGCCATATAACATATATGACTTATTCGAACAACTATACCTATGACTTTTCAATCGATATCTCCTGCTCCATTGTTACCCTGGTCTAGTAAAGTCGTCTTCTTCCTGATCGACTTCTTTAACTCAATCATAAATCACAATCGGAGCTTCACTACATATTTCCAGATTTTGTTTGTTTCTTTATTAGGTTTCAATCCCAATCTTATCTTAGACATGGTTGTGATAAAGACAACAGTGGCTGTTACATTTGTGCTACTACCAACTGCTGTGGATATTCTGGCAAAACAACAGTAGTCATTGAAACTGATGCATCAAATTTGACATCAAATTCAACAGCTACCAGATTAAAAAATCGAGCCCCATAAGATGATTTAGGGGAAAAACATAAAGGTTGACACATTTGATTGTAACTCACTTTTTTTTTTTTTTTTATGTATTTCAATCTCATTCATTCAACATTTTTATCTAATGATTGTTTTAATGGTATAAAAATATAGATTCAAAGGTAAAATGACCATTCATAATATTCAAACTGTTTATCCGGTAAAACAAACAAATAACAACATATCTATAACTATATAAATACATATATTCATAGAGAAGAACCCTAATTCCATCTTTGTGAAGCTTCTGCCCCCCACATCCCACCATTTCTGAAGGGGGATTTTGTTTGTTTATTTATTGTGTATTAAAAAAATATGTTTTTTGAGTGGTGGTGGGGTATAATGTATCGAACAATTATTATGTAATAAATGGGAGGGGGGATGTATAATAAATATGAAAACAAGCTGTTCTGGTTTCCTCTTCTGAAAGGTCCCAACTTTTTACTCTCACTCTCACTTCTTTGTAAATGTTAAATGTGGCTTTGGATTCTTTCATAGATTTCATCATCTTCTTCTTCATTTGGTACACCTCTGCCTGCTAAACAACACTATTCTTTTGGGTGGTACTTTCTACACTTACTCTACAGGTATTTCCAAGGGTTTTTCCATGTGGGTTTCTTGAATTTTATAGTCTTTGATCTTGCTGAAATCAATAGGTGTTGTGTGAATGTAGATTTTAGCTCAATTGGGTGTCTTTTGTGGTAAAGATTGGCTTGATCTAGCAAGATTGACTTAGTATCCCAAAAAGTTGTTCTTTTTGGGATGTTTGAAGACTGATTTTAACCTACTATCTGCTCCTATTCTGCTGTTTTCTGCTCATTTTATCTTTAAATTGTAGCTTTAGGGTTTATCACATTGGTTTTCAGTTGAAATCATCTCTCTGTTTCTGCCATTTCAAATAGATAAGATTTCAAGATTTACCTTATCTTTACCCCCATTATGTTCATACGCATGGCTTGTTTGCTTTATGTTTTGCCTCACATTGGTCTTTTGGCATGTTCTTTTCTGGGTTTTGTATGTCTGAATTGGACCAAAATTTTGATCAGGATGATCCAATATTTCTTGATTTTCCGGTCACAAAGGCTCTGTGAAGATAGGTCATTGAGCCATAGGATTGATCTTTCTGATCTGTTCTTTTTCTGGGTGTTCTTTGAATTCCCTTTTTGCCCTTATCATGCTAAAGAAAGTAAAAAATCTGCAAATCTTGACCATTGATTCTGAATTTTAGGGGTGAAGATTGAGGTCAAACTGTCAACCGGAACAATGAGGCTTGAAATGTTGCTTGGATATGTTCTTATGTATGGCAGTTTGTCCATGGCATTAGGTAATCTCAAATGTTTTTATGATTGATTTCCTTTTGACTTTGAGGTCAAACTTGTTGGTTCTTGAATTCAAACTTGAAATGAACCAATTACAACCAAATTGCAGGTGGGTATGTGGGAATCAACATTGGAACTGATCTTTCCAACTTACCGTCACCGGAGCAAGTGGTTGCGATACTTAGATCCCATCAAATAGAACACGTTCGCCTTTTTGATGCCGATAATCACCTGCTTAGCGCTCTTTCGGACACCGGAATCGAAGTTATGATCAGTGTGACGAATGAGGAGGTTTTAGGAATTGGGGAATCGCCGGCAGCCGCGGCTTCTTGGATCAACAGAAATGTTGCGGCATTCGTACCCTCGACAAACATCACTGCCATTGCTGTTGGTAGTGAAGTTCTTTCGACAATCCCACATGCCGCCCCGGTTTTGGTTCCTGCCATGAACTATCTTCACAAAGCCTTAGTTTCTTCGAACCTGAATTACCAAATCAAAGTTTCGACCCCGATGTCAATGGATTTGATCCCTAAGCCGTTCCCGCCATCTGCCGCCACGTTTAACTCGTCTTGGAACTCGACTATTGACGAGATTCTTGACTTTTTAAGAAACACAAATTCCTTTTTCATGCTGAATGCTTATCCTTACTACGGTTACATACAAAGCAGCGGTATTTTCCCGATTGAATACGCACTCCTCCAGCAGCTCTCGCCGGTCAAACAGATTGTTGACCCGAATACGCTCTTCCATTATGACAGTATGTTTGATGCTATGGTGGATGCGACTTACAACTCTATAGCAGCTTATAACTCCTCCGTGATCCCAATTGTTGTGACCGAGACTGGTTGGCCATGGGCGGGTGGCGCTAATGAACGTGATGCCACCATGGAAAATGCCGAGAAATTTAACAATAACTTGATACGTCGTGTCTTGAATAACTCCGGCCCACCAAGTCAGCCGACGATTCCTATCAACTCGTATATTTACGAGCTGTTTAATGAAGACAAACGACCTGGGCCTGTCTCGGAGAAAAGTTACGGTGTGTATTTTAGCAATGGGACCTCGGTTTATACGTTTAGTTTGGATGCATCGGCCCAAACATCGGCGAATTCTTCAGGCGGGTTTTGTGTTGCAAGAAAGGGAGCCGACACCAGTAGCTTGCAAGACGGTCTGAACTGGGCGTGCGGCCCAGGCCAAGCCAACTGCAGCGGTATTCAGTCAGGACAGCCGTGTTATATGCCAGATACCATTGAAAACCATGCTTCGTTTGCTTACAACGATTACTACCAAAGAATGCGTAGTGTCGGCGGAACCTGCGATTTTAGCGGTACCGCTATAACTACGATGGTCGATCCCAGTACGTGCTCTACTACCAACCATAAGTTATCTTATTTTCTGAGCTCGGGCAACAGTCAGCCAGTTTATCAGATAGTTTGCTGAACACCATACAACTTGTTTCTAAACTGTATTTTCTTTTTGCAGGTTACGGGTCGTGTGTATTTACAGGAAGGTAAGAACACGAAAGCTATAGAACATTGTTGATCGCAATCGTTTCTTTACGAGACTACTAACGTGTGCAATATTGTCTTTGAACAGTACGAATATGAGCATTGGTGGAATGGTTCCAGCTGCATTTGGACCAGAGGGACCTCCTGGAAGTATGTCACCGAGTCAACATCCTCACGTCTGGTGCTTGTTTGTGGCCACGGTTGTAGCGTTGGTCCTGTAGATTTTTGGCCGTTTTGTATAGTTGGTATTCGCTCCTTAGGGTGCGTTTGGTATGCAGACTACATGGGAATATCGCGACACGAAATTCGACAGAAATTGTAGATTAAAATTGGTAAAAGGGTTTGGTTTGTTATTGCCAAATCTTGGCTTCTTTTCTTCTTGTTGGTTTTGTAATGTGTTTTAAAGTTTTTGAGGCTGATTATTAGGGTTGTCATTTATGAGACTGTGGTGCAGATGTTGGATCAAATAGTTACTGGTTCATTTCAAGTTCGCATTGTTTCCTTTTCACGATTAACGATTAACGATTTCCTCATCGTCAAATGAATTCATGATTAACGATTTTCTCATTAACGTCAAAGATGGGACCTGATAAGAAAAGATCCATGTAAATGATCGAAATTGTGAGGTTCATAATAATTTTATAACGTTGTCAACCAAATTTCTTTGACAATTTAACTTGTGATTTTTATATTCCGATCCTTTTGGACAACAACTTCCATTTGCAACGGATGATGATATTATCCCTAAAATTAATGGATTTAATGATAAGTTAAGAAGAAATGAAAGAAAGGGTCAAACAAGCGGTGTGTTGGTAAAGAAAGAGAGAGGAAAGAAGGGGGGGAAGTGAGTGGGTGATGAACGCTGGGAGCTTGAGTGGTGGGCGGTCATGGCCGTCAAGAACATCTTTAACGTCATCAGGGAGGAGGATACAGAAGGAGATGGCGGAACTTAACATGGACCCACCTGCCGATTGCTCTGCTGGTCCCAAAGGCGACAATCTTTATCACTGGGTCGCCACTCTCTTCGGTCCCCAAGGTACCCAACCTCTTACTCTGTGTTTGAATGTTTATCTTCGCAAATTCTTCTGCTTGTAATTTCTGGATTTGGGGTTCTTGTTTTATCTTCCAATTCATATGAATCCCTATTGGGATTTATGAGATGCATAATTGCGTTCAATGAGGGTAAGAAAACCTGTGAAAGACCTCGATGCGATGAATGAGGGACAAGTGTTCGATCAAATGCGTAAGAGAACAACTTCACGTGAATACTAGCTTTTGCTGAGAAAAGAAGCTGCAGATTCATTGAAGTAACTTGTTTTTACTTAACTACTAAACTGCTCTCTTAATCTTTCATAGATAAAGTTCATTTTCTGCCATTACATGTAATCCTTGTTTCTAGTCTGATGCATCGCAGTTTCCGATTGTTGGAGTACAAACTCTTGTACCTCTAAATCTAATGTACTTGATCTGCAAACGACAACCTCAAACTTGGATGGAGGGGTTTTCACAGCCACTCTATGCCTACCTAAGTTGTGGGATTGTTTGCAGAATACATTTTCTTGATTTTGGTTGTTTTGTTGTTGTTATTGTTTATGTTCTTGTAGGAACACCTTATGAAGGAGGAATATACTTTCTTGACATAACATTTCCGGCTAATTATCCCTTTAAACCCCCAAAGGTATGCTCATATGCATGCTGGATGAAGTATCTGTTTTATTGTGCCTTTTCTGTGTTGTTAAGTTTTCATGCAAAGAACTTTGTGTTAAACCGTATTCTAGTTGCACGGCTCCTATAGAAGTTCCAGTTTCTCTTGTTGTGTATCGTGATTCCAAAGGCAACTGCGTTTTTGCAAGTGTAGTTCCTTGAGTAGCTTATTGGATTGCGGTGCAGGTTGTTTTTAAAACACGTATATATCATTGCAATGTGGATTCAATCGGCAACGTTAGCTTAGATATCCTAGATGAAAACAGTTGGAGTCCTGCTTTAACAATCTCAAAGGTGCTACTTGCTTTGCGATCAATCTTCACCAACCCCAACCCTTGTATGTATTTCATTCTCTCAATTTCTTGAACCAAACAAGAGCCATATATATATATATACATATATATATATATATATACATATATATACATATATATATATATAGTTCACGTGAGACCAGCCTGTTTTCTTGAGACCCGCGAGACTATTTTTTTACACTTGAAACATCACAGCAAAATACTGTGAAGGTAAAAAAAAACCGAACTTTCACAGCAAAAACACTGTGAAGGTCACCTTTACAGCATTTTGCTATGAAGTTTCAAGTGTAAAAAGGTGGTCTCACGAAAATAGGCTGGTCTCACGTGATCCCAAGTCTCTCTCTCTCTCTCTCTCTCTATATATATATATATATATATATGTAGAGTCGGGTTTATATGAGAATGATACCTATTTAAGAAAATAAGAAAATGGCTAAATCACATGTGATTTTGCACTAACCTCACGTACAAAATCACATGTCATTTACGCGACCATGCCACACGGCCATAGGGTCGTCCGGACACCTTTTTGGCCGTTAATGTAAAGTCACATGTGATTTTATACGTAATTTGGTCCTTTTCTTATTTTCTTAAATAGGTATCACTCTCGTATGAACCTACCTCTATATATGTACATGTATGTATACATAGGGACAGGTGCAGGGGAAACCCGCAAAAAATGAAAAACTGAGGAACATCCTAGTAAACCATTCATCTATACGTACACACATGTGTATACAAGTAATTTGTCCGGTATACACATGTGCATAACGTACACACATGTATAGAGACCAAGAAACATCTTTGATTACTCGTATGCATATCCACATACCATACAGATGAATGATTATTAAGATGTTTCTCAGTTTTTCATTTCTACAGGGTTTGCGCAGAACCCCCCTCTCTCTCTCTCTCTATATATATATATATATATATATATTCTCAACTTCTAAGTGGATGTTATTGTTATTTTGCTGCAGATAAACCTCAAGTTCCAGGAATTGCTCAGTTGTATTTGGTAGACAGAAATAAACATGATGCAGTAGCTGCTGAGTGGACTCGACGATTTGCAAAGTAGAAATTAGAAAGCAAATCGGTATGTATGTATGTATGTATGTATGTGTGTGTTGTTTTAGTAGTTCAATTACTTTTTTTAGGAATTATTTAATGTTTGATACCTTCCTTCATTGTACACAAGTAAGAGGTGGCTCTCAACTCTCTGAGTTTATATATATTGTGATTTCGATACACTTTCGTGTTCAATTAAAGTTCGGGTTGTAAACTTTACGTCTCAATGCTTTTCAATGTGTCAAATTGAAGTTGGTCTTGCACAATTCGGTTTTTAAGCAGGAGGTTCTCAAGTGCGGTGCTTGGTTCCTGAACTTGTTACCGAAGTAATCATTGATCATAAAGAAAAGCAACAGTTTGGAAAATTTACGAGTTGGTGATTCTGTCGAGGGAAGAAGATTTCATATTAAAACGACCCATGGGAAAGTATTGAATAACTCAAGTTCAATGCAAATGCAAATTGGTCAAATCAGATATGATGTCGAGTTAACTCGAATGATCAATCAAAGTTGGTGATCTAATTAGGGTTGACATTCCGTTGTGGATTCAAACATCTTCCAAACGAGAGAACGAGACGCAAGTCCTTCTACCCTTCAATGTGAAAAATTGCACAAATGGAAATGCATTATTTTTAAACTTGGTTAAGTTGTGATGCTCTAACATATGACATCTAGAATGTTCCATACAATTTATCATATTCTTATTTTCGTATGACGACTCATTGTATTGATTTATTGACGTGGATTATCATAAAACACATATTTGCATTCGAGCAATCTAGAAGAGAATTGATTCAATATTTTTAAAAATTAAAAATAACTTTTAATAAATGTAATTAAATGCAAAATTTAATGAAGGAATGATAAAGTCGTTAATATTTGACTTTTTAATGGTAAGCAATCATCGTACTTTGAAATACAAAATGAATTATTTTTAATAAATAGCAATTATGCACAAAAAATTCAATTTCATCCCATCCATTTTGATGGATTAGGACAAAATACTTCTTATACAATATATTAAAAGGGTAATCGTACAATGCAGCGAAATACATCTCGATTTTAATGTTTTTTTATTATTTGTTTATGTCAATGTTATAATACAGTTTTATATTGTTTTGAGAAAATGATAATGTTTTTATATTTAAATAAAATATAAATTCGAAGATCCATAAAAACTTGAAAAAAGATATCGATATTATAATCAAATTAAGTATTTAAAATTTCTCGTTTTTTGTTTAATTTCTTTAATTTTTTTACTATGGTTTAATAATGAATAACTTATTTCCGGTTTAATAATATAATTTTTTTGTAAAGATAATAATTAAGTATTCTTTTAAATGTTAATAATTATTTCAATTAAATGAAATATTTATAATATTTAATTTGACATATATATAAATAGGTAAAAGATCTTGTGAGAAACATAATTAATGTGAGAAACCTAAAAAGAGGTCTCAACCCTTGATCAACTTTAATATCAAACCCGTCCATGAATCATGCTTGATACGGAATTGATCGGGTGTATCTCATCTCGATGCATCTCATCGTAATGTGCATCCAAAAGTGGAGATCTTTTCTTATGCTCTCACCTTAACGCTCACTTTCACAGGAACTCAACCCTATATAAATATACTTTTTTATCCCATCGAGTCTGAAAATTAACAAGATATATTCAACCATCACTTATAATTTCAATATTTATAAAATATATTTTTGTATTTAAAAAAAAATTTTAATTTTTTATTATTAATTTAAAATAAAAATTTAAACCCCCATCATTTTATACAGATACACAACTGGTACATATATGCATTAAAAAGTAAATCAAAATGATTATTTTCAATGATTCATATCTTACATAAATTTAAAACATTATTGATTTTTATACCGTTAATTTCTTATATAATTTCAAAATCATCCTTTCTCTTCGTCTTAAATAAATATCATAATAAAAGAATCATATAAGAACTACATCTTTTTTTAGCGGAAAACAAACATAACGAATTAGCAAGCATTTATTGATAAAAATCAACACTTTAATTTACATTATTAGATAAGACTATAATTTGTTCGAAAGGGTATTATAATTTGTATACAAGAATTTATCTGGTAAACGTCGATCATTTATTGGATAAGACTCTTCATCCTATCTTATCAGATAAATCATCACCACTTAGGGGGTGTTTGGAATTGCTGAATAGTTTGGTACAGAATGATTAAGAGATTCTCATGATATAGTGCAAAAATGAAATATAATTATTTGATAATTGTGTATAATGAAATTAGGGCTTTTAATGGTTAAAAGAGATCCAAGATACAAAATCATTCAAAGGGTTTTAGAATCATTAAGAGACATAATTTTTTTTGCCAAACAAGATTTATATCTTTAACAATTAAATATTGTCTTTTAATGGATCATTATCCCGTAAAACAAAAGACCTAATTAATATTTAACGGTAAAAGTTTTTCGGCCCCTAAGTAGAAATACCAAAGATCATGTAGATGTTATCCAAAGTTCATAAAGTTGGGAACTTTTCAAGACTTTTTGCAACCGTAAACAAGAAGGAATAGCATACGACTGGTCTACACCACCTCCTACAATTTATTGCCACCTACAATCCTTCAATCATTCTTGATCAGTGGATGAATCACCTACCTCCCACATGATTCGTTTAAATCTTCTTGTTTAAACACTGAATTCAAATGTTTAAACACACTTAAAAGTGAAATGGTGATGACTAAGGCTAAAGGTATTCAAGAATTTGGATTACAAGAACTGTTGAATACCGGATTAAAACCAGATGATGCCAAATCTCTTCAAATCGAGCTTAAACACGCCATTGATTGCACTTCTAGCTCCAACCCAGTTGAGTTATGGCGCCACATCACTTCTCGAAGGTTGCTCAAACCATCTTACCCTCATTCTCTGCATCGATTCATCTACAATGCGGTGTACGCCGACTACGATGAGACAATCCATGGCCCTCCACTCTATTGGTTCCCTTCCCAGTAAGTTATACGACTATGTATTTATGTTTATAGGAAATGTGAAAAGGGCATTAATGAATTAGCTGAAATAAAATGTATTAACTTTGAAGATGTTGCAAGAATTATAAGGATTTCGTTAGACCCAGATGGAAGATTTCGTACTGCAATTTAGAGATGCAAAATGTAATTGATTAAGGACGAATTTAGCTTACATAATGTGCATTTGAAGATGGGTTTTTCCAGAAATCCATCTTTTCAGATAGGAGTGTATAAAGCCCAGGTGGAAGATATTATGGTGCAGATTAGAGCTGTAAATTTAGGTTGATTGTGAATGAATTAGGTGAAATGATATGCAATTGAAGATGGAGTTTCAGGAAATTCATATTTTTAAGAAATCTTTATTTCTTTAAGGACTTTATAAGAACCAAAATGAAAGAGTTGTGGTGTGATGATGTGCTTGTTTCTTAGCATTGATTCTAAAAGGACAAACTTGGGGAGAATTATGGAAACCCATGGTGGAAAGCTTCTAGGAGCAGCTTACAAGGATCCTATAACAAGTTTTAAACAATTTCAGAAGTTTTCTGTTCAACATCCAGAGGCAAGTTCTTGATCTTACATTTGTATTTCCTCATGATTCATGGAGTCATCTAATGAATGTTATGATGTTTCGATTCATAGGTTTACTGGTCGATAGTCTTGGAAAAGCTTTCAATCCGATTTCATCAACCTCCAAAATGTATATTGGATACCTCTGATGAATCAAAACTCGGTGGCACTTGGCTTCCTGGTTCCATTTTGAACATTGCCGAGTGTTGTTTGCTATCAGCAAGCGAAACAGATAAAGAAAATGAAAGCATTGCAATTGTATGGAGGGATGAAAGATTCGATAATTCTGATGTAAACAGGATGACATTAAACGAACTGCGACACCAAGTAATGTATGATTTCCGTCTTAATGAATGTTGTATGTAACAACTCATCTCACATGGAATAAGAAATGGGATTTGTGAGCTCCTTATAAGCCTCAAGTTGTGGGGTCCCAATAACTTCCACCATGGTTTTAAGTTGGATTCAAAGTTATTTCTGGCTTTAGATTATTGGTTAAAGTGAAGTGACATACTTAATAATTTTGCGCAGGTTGGTTGCAAATGCATTAAAGGGCTTGTTTACAAAGGGAGATCGGATTGCAATTGACATGCCAATGACAGTCACTGCAGTTATTATATATTTGGCAATTGTATATGCTGGATTAGTGGTTGTATCAATAGCTGATAGCTTTGCGGCAAAGGAGATTGAAACACGATTGCGGGTTTCTAAATCAACAGCTATCTTCACTCAAGATTACATTGTTAGAGGTGGTCGACGATTTCCTTTGTACAGCCGTGTTGTTGAAGCCACTCCAATTAGAGCCATTGTTGTACCTGCCATCGGAGAAAATATAGACATCAAACTAAGAAAACAGGATATCTCTTGGCAAGATTTCCTTTCTGGTGCACAACACCTTCCTAGGTACACTTCTAGTTCTTGAATAAGATCCTTCTGGAATCTACTGGAACTGTTGTTATGTTCTTTAGGGGCTGTTTGTTTGGTTTTCCATCAACTCCTATATGAATGAAGTAGTCTGTACGGATTAATCAGTCTTTATAGATTGGGGAAGTTTTTTGATTTAATTGGGAGGGACAGGTTTGGAAAAAACTTGTCTTTCTGCATAAAGCCCCCCTAGAATCTTAATGAATGAGTCACTTTCTATATCATTAAGCCACTACCAAACAGTCATGTATATTTGACCGAATAAGCTGCAAGTCCCATTAAGCTCATTAAGCTGCTACAAGCAGTCCCTTAGACATGCTAATGAACTGAAGAACGGAAAATATGGATCTAATGATGTAATAATTAAATTGCAGGCCAGATTATTGTGATCCAGTCTATCAATCGGTAGACGCGCTGACAAACATTCTCTTTTCTTCAGGAACAACAGGTTGAATGAATGCGTTCTCTTGTTTCTCTGAGTTTACTGCTCGAGTTGCTTATAACTGTTTTTTTCTTTTCTTAGGTGATCCGAAAGCTATACCATGGAATCAAATTTCTCCCATTCGAAGCTGTGCTGACTCATGGGGGCCTATGGATCTTCAGGCTGGAGATGTTTTCTGTTGGCCCACGAATTTGGGATGGGTTATGGGACCGGCATTGCTCTATACTTGTTTTCTGAGTGGTACAACACTAGCTCTTTATCATGGCTCTCCGCTAGGTCCTGGTTTCGGAAAATTTGTTCAGGTTGCTTCTTGAAACCCTCTCACAACCACGTTAGACCGGAAAATGTATATTTTATGCTTCAGGAGGTGTTGGTTCTCATAATGCTTTTTAATTGGATGGAATGTGTCGAAGGAATTGGAATTGAATCAGGTTTGACCACGCGTCTGGTTAACAGGAAGCTGAATGAAATCTGTTGAATGAAATTAGAATCTGTCTTTTTGGTTCGCAAAATATGACTTCAGAATTGTAACGAAATAATGACAAATGACCAAAATACCCCTTTATCACGAAGTTGCGTGGGTTGTTTTTCAGGATGCAGGAGTGACACATTTGGGCACTGTTCCAAGTCTAGTCAAGTCTTGGAGAAGTACAAGATGTATGGAAGGGCTGGATTGGACAAAGATCAAGTAACCGCCGTTTCTTACTGCAATTTATGAAAAAATGGTGAGCGAAAACGGTTATGCAACTTGATTACAAATATGTGCAGGGTATTTGGGTCTACTGGTGAAGCCTCCAATGTTGATGATGACCTTTGGCTATCTTCGAGGGTTTATTACAAACCCATCCTTGAATGTTGTGGGGGTACCGAGCTCGCATCATCTTACATGCAAGGGAATCTTCTACAGCCACAAGCCTTCGGAGCTCTTAGCTCTGCTTCAATGACAACGGGTTTTGTGGTTCTTGATGATCAAGGAGTTCCTTACGTAAGATCGTTCAGATTTCTAACACAAGTTCACCATCTTCAAGATTTATCACACTTCAAGTTTGATTCATTCTTGTTTGTTTAATATATGACAGCCAGATGATCAACCCTGTGTTGGTGAAGTGGGCTTATTTGCTCTGTATATGGGAGCAACCGATAGACTGCTTAATGCAAATAACGAAGAAGTTTACTTTAAGGGAATGCCAGTTTACAAAGGAAAGGTATGAAGAGTTCCAAAAGGTTTCTTTTTTTGCAAATCTTTCGATCATCCACCAACAGACCCATGAAAGATTTCATGTCGTTTTTCTAACAAAAACATGATGTGTTTGTCCAGAAACTCAGGAGACATGGAGACATCCTCAAGAGAACGATCGGAGGCTATTTTTTTGTACAAGGCAGGGCTGATGATACCATGAACCTTGGAGGCATAAAGGTAAAGATCCACTAATATTATGGTATTTTGGACATTATATATGGATGCGTTTGGTATCCAGACATGATAGTACATGACAGAATAGTTGTTCAACGTTTTGGTAAAATAAAAATGATAAAATGACCAATTTACCCTTAATTTTATGTAATTTTATTACTTTACAATAAAATAAATATTTTTTATAACAAAATATATCATTAGAAGATTTTCGTCAATAATATATCATTGGTATATTGGTGAAATATACGTTTGTTCCTTGTTCCATGGGATGGAGGTGGAACACGCTTGTTCCTGTTTGTTCCACATAAAAGTCCTGCCAAACATGGGATAGTGATCCTTATTTTGTCTTGTACTGTCTAGTGTACAAAACGCACCCTATATGACTTGATTTTGCTAAGATCACTGGGGTAAAAGATAACCATCCTTGAGTTTTTATAATGCACCCTAAACCCTGAACTCTAAACCCTTAAACCCTAAGCGTTTAGTGTGTTTTTATATTACAAGAAACTGAGAAAGATGTGTGCATGCAGACAAGCTCGATTGAGATCGAGCGGGTTTGTGAGCAGGCTGATGGAACCATCATGGAAACGGCTGCAGTCAGTGCTGCACCTGCAATCGGTGGTCCAGAACTGTTAGCCATATTCGTGGTACTAAAGAAGGGGTTCAACGCTGAACCGGAGAAGCTGAAGATGATATTTTCGAAGGCCATTCAAAGAAACCTCAACCCATTGTTCAAGGTTCTCCTCATCTGCTCCCCCCTTTTCAGATTACTTGAACACAAACTATCCATGTGGAAAACTCTCAAAAAGATAAAAATTTGAGGAACACCCTAACAACCGACATGCACATGTTTTCTAGTTTCTATGCACGTGTGCATGGTATACACATATGCATACCAGATAAATTATTTACAAAGTAGTTGTATGCAATGTGTATACCATACAAAATGAATAGTTACTATTTCTTTGCAGTTTCTCTTGAATATGACCCTATATATATATATAACTAATTAAGCGTTAATTATGTGTTTTCGAATTCATTAATGAACAGGTGAGCTTCGTCAAGATTGTCCCAGAGTTTCCTCGAACCGCTTCTAACAAGTTACTGAGGAGAGTTTTAAGGGATCAAATGAAGGAGGAGCTTCGCGTTCGCAGCAAAATGTAACCATGGTCTTAACTACTGGTATACGGTCGATCATTGCTGTTTAAATAAATGTAAAACATTGGCATTTTCGACTGCAAGTAGACGTATCTCGTTCTGTTGACACCTTATTTTCTCGATATATAAGAGGTTTTTATAACGTTTACTATCAAGGGATTATACGACCATCCTTGATTCTTTGTTATTTTACATGAAAACTATACCTTTGCAAACTCAACTGTGGCCTTCCCGTCATGTGCTTTTCTGAAGAAATGCTTGACGTAATCCGAATAGAGGACATTCTTGTAGACTGGTTTCTCTCCACCGTGAAGCACTTCCGGCAGTGGTCCAATAATATCGCTAGGCCTCGGGTTCACGAATATTGGCACTGAAATCCTGTTGCTGCTCCCGTTAGCAATTACTCGATGCTCGATACTTTTGTACTTGCCGTTACTCATGATCTGAAGCGCGTCTCCAACGTTGATCACCAAAGATCCGGTGACCGGAGGGACATGAACCCATTTCATAGTCTCTGTGTTTCGCACGTAAAGCCCTCCGATGTCGTCTTGAAGGAGTATAGTGAGTGTGGAAACGTCTGAATGACGCCCCACACCGACTGTGAGCTCGGGGTTAGGACATTTAGGATAGTAATTAAGGTTGATCCGCTTCGATCCCATTAGAATCGATTCATCAATCTCTTTTACGTTCAGTCCTTTCATCAGTATCTCTAGCAACTTCTTGACGATGAGTTCAGAACTCTTGATGTATTCCAAAGCTTGATTCCTGCCATAAAAAACTAAACTTTAAGATCTTTACTATTTTAGTTCTTAGGGAATGTTTGAAATTTGTAGAAGGATTAAGTTGTAAGAATGATTATAATATATTTTAAATAAAATATAATTGTTTGGTAATTATTTAGAATGAAATTAGGATGCTGAATGGTTAAGGAAGAACCAGTATACAAAATCATTTAGAGGGTTTTGAAACAATTAAGAGGCGATGCTTTAAATATTACTAGAAGAGTACTCGTGCATTACAGCGAGATACATCTCGATTTTAATGTTCTATTTTATTATTTGTCTCTGTTGATGTTATAATACGATTTTATGTGTTTTTAAGAAAAACAATAATGATTTTATTTTTGAATAAAATATAAATTTGAAGATATCATAAAATTTTGAAAAAAATATATCAATATTAATATCAAATCAATTATTTAAAAGTTCTCATTTTTTATGTAATTTCTTTAATTTATTTTTTTTAATTATAATTTAATTTAAGTTTAATAAGGATATAATTTATTTTTGGTTTAATAATATAACATTTTATAAAGATAATAATTAAGTATTATGTTATAACTCATTGATCATTCTAATTATATTTTAGATTTTTTATATTTAAAATGAGATGTTTATCCTGTATTTGACTATGTTTATCTGCAATTAGTAACACGAATTCCGATATGTAGCTTTAATAACTTGTACTTATGCACAATCTACTTGCAATCTTGAGTTTTAAGTAATATGCATTAATAAACAGTACTTTATGCATAAAAAATGGTTTTTAAGAGTTTTTGTCAAATCATTTATAATATAGTATAGATTATTTGAACATCAAAACAAAAAATCATAAAGAGGTTGACGTTGGGATGTTTCATTTGGGAAGGAGGCGATGCTTTAAATAAGAGGTAGGGATGTCATTTTTGTGGCTGAATGGGGACAACACATCATTTTTATCTGTGCGATTAAGCCATGTTCTGTGCAAATAAGCCGTAAGTAAACAACTCAAATGAGCTGTGCGAATAAGCCAAATAGATCAATAAGCCTAATTAAGCCGCAAGTAAACAGCCCCTAGTCTTTAACCTTTATATACCACTGAATTAGGTCGAGGAACACAAAGATTGTTGGACACATATAACAAAGAATAAAACTTCGTCTTGTAATAATGAGGTGTTTGGAATTGCTTATTTGAAACTAACTTACGTTTTTCTACAAAAATGTTTATCAACTTATTATAAGTGAGAATGATTTAATTTTTTCAAAAACTCCTTATTACCAGTTTGGCACCGGTATAAGCCGTTTATCTGAACACTCAAGTGCTTATTACCGGTGTCACATCAGAATAAATCAATAAGTTGTTTTTATAAGCAATCCCAAACACGCCCGCAGTTTATGTTTTTCATTAGTCTTTTTGAACACTTTTAATAGCGATTTGTGTAAATAACATTTTTCATCCTCGTGGTTTGTTCAAAATTGTGATTTCCGTCCCTGTGGTTTAGATATTTATGGTTTTCGTCCCTATGATTTATAAATCATTGTTATTTTCATTCTTATGATCTATAATTTATCATTGTTTCGGTCATTGTGATTTATAGTTCTTTACTATTTTGGTCTCTTGTACTTAAAAAATGTAAGAATTAGTTTAGGGACGAAAATAGAAATAAATTACAAACTATAAGAATGAAAACTACAATGATGAAAATGCAATTTTTAAAAACGATGGGGACGGAAAAGTAATTTATTCTAGTTATTTTATATGACATTTTTAGAAGTGTTGACGTAATACATTTATGCTTATACAACTCCTTTTTAAATATTGTTTTATAAAATAGTTATTACCACATTTTCTTATAAAAATATTCAAAAAAAACTAGTTACTACTTCCAAACATGTTATATAAACTTTTTACCACATCTTTAGATATAATGTTTTATTGTTTCGTCTTATAAATTAAGTCTTATAAGACAGTCTATAGAAGACTTAGACATATTTAACATCCTATAAACTCAATTTTGTTGCACGACAAGAGGAACAACATACCTGCATACCGGAGGCCAGAGGGAAGCAGCCTCATCATCGGATACAAAGAATAGACTGAGAAAATCCTTCCACTCGAGAGCTTTCTCGGCTTCAGGAGTAAAACTCGTACCGAAACGAACTCTATTCGTAACCGATCGTTCTTTTGAGTATTTGTGTTTTTCTTGTGCTGGCAACTTGAAAAACTGATGAGTTGCATCTTTGACATCCTCAAGAACATGAATAGGAACTCCATGGTTTACTATCTGAAAGAAACCCCATTTCTGTGCTGCATCACATATTGCTTCTGCAACTTTCGGGTCGTCCCAGTTGGACATATCGATGACTGGGATGCAGTCGTTAGGTGGCGCTTCCTCATTCGTCGTAGTATCGAACCGTTCATGCAAAGGTTGAATGTATTGGTGCGGTAGGGTGTCGAGTCCCAGTTCTGCTAAACCTTTGACTCCGTGACCTTTATTAACCACGAAATCAAGGATGTTGAGTGAGTTCATCGAGCTTGCTGGAGCCATGGTTCGAGTGAGTAGATGAAGGTGTGTGTAGATTTGGTTAGTCTGGTTGCTATTTATAGAAAGTAGTCGATGATACATAGCTTTGCGTGGTACCTACCATTCTAGTAAGGTTGCAGAATTCATGCCTTAGGAATTGCATAGGCATGGCCAGTCACATTGGGGTTGGTTTGAAGGAAATAAAATGTTAAACCTTCAAAATAATTACGTACTTTAAGTATCACTTTTTTTAGTGAACTACGTTTCAATATCTATGGACTATGGGAGTGTTTGGGATTGCTTATAAAAATAACTTATTGACTTATTCCGATGTAACACTGGTAATAAGTACTTTTGAGGGATGTTTGGTTCGCAGAATGATTTCTGAATGAATGGAATCTGCCAAAAGAATTGGAACCTGGAAGGAATTGGAATGTAATGTTATCAGGTTTGACCAAGTGTTTGTTTGGCAAGATTGGAATGTAATATGTTTAATGAATTAGAATTTGTCTGCTTGGCTTGCAACATAATTAGAATGAAATGACGAAAAATGACAAAAATACCTTTTCTTTGATATTTTTTAAAAAAATAATTTTTTTAATTACAAATACCAATAAGAATAACATTTAATAAGGAAATAAATGTTTACCATTTATGAAATCATATATAAACATAAAACGTGTAGATATCGATATTTTCAATAGATTTCGTTTTTAATTTTTGTTGCATCAATTTTTTTTATTACAAAACTATTTAATATATATAGGCACGTTCAAATGAAAACCGTGTATTTCTTAGAAACCGTGTAAACTAATTTCAACCAATAGAAAAATCCATTTTTTTCTAATTAAATTGAATTATTAAGGGTATATTGGTCATTTGCATTGTATTATATTAAATATGGAAGTTATTAATAAATCTTAATTAAGATAACATAATAAAGATTTTTTTATAAATGTTAACGTTTAAATATTTAATTAAATTATAATATTAAAAATTGGATTTTGTTATATTGTGTTTCGGTTTATTATTGTCAAGATTCATGAAAATCGTAAGTTATTAGATCAATAAATCCATGAAATCAGTAATAGAATAAAGAAAAATATTCATGAAACCGGTATCATACATGGTGAAATCGGTGCATGGAGTAAGTGAAAATGAATATGAAATTGGTGCAGGATGAAATCGGTTTCATACATGGTGAAATTGGTGCATGAAATAAGTGAAAATTATTATGAAATGAGTACAGCATGATGAACATGAATAGATGCCTGATGAATAGGGTGCATGATGATATGGGTGCATGAAGGAAGTGAAACCATTTCATAATTGGAAGAAATTGGCTGATGAAATGGATGCATGAAGAAAGTGAAATCATTTCATAATTGATAATAAAATGTTATGTAATTAGCGAAGAAACCATTTCATTATTACAATGAAACAGATTCATCTACCAATAACAGTGAAACCATTTCATAATTAGATTGAAACAGATCAATCTACCGGAAACTTGAAAATGACAAATGTCTCATCTAACATTACGTTGATTTGTGTATTGATGAAACTGTGAAACCATTTCGTTCATGAAATGTAGTAGTATTTTTTTTTTTATTATTATTCAAAAGGTTTCATTATGTTAAATTGATTATAGTGTGTTTTATTTTTATTGTTGATCTATTTTAATTATGAATGTTATTTTTTTATAATATTTGAACGTAAAATTAATATATTATTTTACAAATGATTTTTTTTATTAACCTGGATATCCAACCCGCTATTCGAGCTGACTAATCTCAGGGCGACCACCTGCTTTGCAGATAGCCCAGAGTCACTGCATTTGAGCATCCGTGGCCACAAGGGGATTTTTATTCATCTTTGGATTTGAACCTGAGACCTCCTGGTACAAATGATTTTATTTCATTAATATTATGATATACATGATATGGTTGCTATTAATATTACCACTACCAAAGTTACCATTTTGCCCTTTTTGGGATTATAAAACAAGTTTTTATTTTATATTTTTTTTAATTTCTTAATATAACCTAAACTAATCTTGACCATTGATCCAGAAAATGAATGGATGGATTGGTTTACATGGTTTACACAAATGAGGGCGGTTTTCATTTGATCGCTTCTCTCTCCCTCTCTCTCTCTCTCTCTCTCTCTATATATATATATATATATATATAAGATATCTTGTTTTTAGGGTTTCTTCTCCTCTTTCTTTTATTTCTTGCAAAACGATAGGCATCTCTCGAATCGGTAATCGATTTGGTAAACGACAATAATCAGAAATCGATTTGGAAAAGAAATGTCTTCTTCTCTGGAGAAATGGTTAAGCAAAAATCGATTTCATAAACGACATGCGTCGGAGAAATCGTTAAGTAGAAATCGATTTGGTAAAGGACAGAGGTCGGAGAAATCGTTATGAATCAGATAAACATAAATCGTTAAGCAGAAACTGGAAGCAACAACGATAATCGATAAGCAGAAACGAGAAGCAAACATAAATCGTTAAGCATAAACCGGAAGCAACAATTTTGGAAGAAATGGATTTCAATTCCATCACTTTTATGAAGGAATGGTGAAATCCCAAATGAGATAATGTTCGGAATTCAATTCCATTCCATGGGTAACAAAACGCTGGAATGAAATTTGGTCAACTGAATTGACCATTCCAATTACACCAGATTCCAACGAACCAAACGCTAGAATGTTTGGATAAACAACTTTCACCGGTGCCAAACCGGTAATAATTTTTTTTTTAAAAAGTTAAGTCATTCTAACTTATAATAAGTTGATAAATATTTTTGTAAAAAAATAAGTTGTTTCTAATAAACAATCCCAAACACCCCTGTATATGGTTCAAAGAAAATGTTGTGATTTTAAAATTATAGTTTTTTTTAATTAATTCTCTTAGAAAAAGAGTTTTGTATTTTTTTTTATTAAATAATGTAATATCTTATAAACAAAAAAACAAAAGAAACCCTTCGTTATATCGTGTTCTCAAATTAAAATGAAAAGAAAATAAAAAAAGAAAGCGAAGAAAAAAGAAAGGAAAAAAAATAAATAAATATATAAATCTATTTGTTTGAGAGTGAATGAAAAAAAGAAGAAAGAGGAAAGGAAAAAAGAATTTTTTTTTCATAAAAAACAAGAAAAAGAAAGGAAAAAAATAATTAATTTATAAATTAAATAATTAATTAGACTTTTTAAAACTTGTTAGATTTTTAAGACTTATATAACTGTTTAATATGATAAAATAAAAAAAAAATCTGAAAAAAGTCGATAAACTTTCATATTTTGAATATTTAAGTTCTTAAACACTTTTTGAACCAAAGAAATACTTACATATGTAAAATGAAACAAATATACCAAAAAATATTTACATTTAAAAAAGATTACCGATGAAATTTGTTTTAAATAAAAGTAAAATATATTTTGTCAGTAATTTTTCAAATTAAAAAAAAATATTTAAAAAAATTACTGATTAAATTTATTTTAATTAAAAATAAAATA